CCATCAATTTTATGTTTTTAAATTATAAAATATTTATTTACAAACAAATTAAAACAATTTTGGTCATAACTATGATTTAAGTCATAATATTAAATATTAATTCGTTATAACTTATGATTAATAACGAAGAGCCAAGGCTCTGTGAGGCATTTACAATTATGGCACCCCATGTTTTAGAGCTAGGTCTAGTTGTGCCTATTTTCAGTGGTGGAACTAAGGGGGGGGGGAGTAACCGGGGATTGATCCCAGGGCGTAATTTTTTTGTGGGTCTTCATTTAATGATTGGTGCTAGAAGTTAAGAAAACATTTTTACTTCACATAATTTGCTTATGATGTTATGGTGATTGTCACGTTCAAAGGAATGAAAAACAAAGAATAAAACCATACATGGCGTAAAATAATTGATCGTCATTCTATTATTAGAACGATTAGCTTACTCGATCGGCCTACGTCGAAGGTCAGTAAATAATATTATTATATACTATTATTGACACAAATATAATATCATCATAGACTCTAGACATTAAACACAGACTAATTATACAAATAATACTAATTAAATATAAACGTTGAAGTCGAACAAAAATATTACAAAATTAATTACTCCAGTGAAAAATTATATTCTGCCATTTGTCATTTGGAAGCGCGACCGGGTCTGTCAGCGTACGGAGTAGCCAGTATAGGTAAGACAATAGACATCATTCTAGTTAATGGTAATTGGTAAGATTATGAACAGATTCGTATTAGTATATTAAGTATACTGGTATACTGGGCATTGGCATACCTACTACATGTATATACAACTAATATACCATAATAATTATTCAATTTTTCTGAGTGAAAGTGTGAAACTAGTAACTAGGCATTTATTGTTGCTGTGTTTTCGTTAAAATGTCCGATACCTACACGGCTACACAATAACTGTTATAACTTATAACTTATAAGATTATCAATCAACAATTAATATACGATATTTTACATCTATGTATTAAAAATTATGTTAATATTTTAATATTTTATAATATTTACCAAGATGGTTATATATTTGTCTATGTTTAAAAAAAAATTTGATTTTAAATATTTTCTTTTATAAATTGGACAGGTAATTAAAGTTTTGATTATTTTTCAACATTTATTTTTCTTATAAAATGCATTCCAAAGAAAATAATAAGCTCACTTTTTATATTATATAAATTATTGCCTTTTAAGCCATCTATAAAGCACTAACCCAATAAATTTTGGTTAAGTTTTAATGTGGGTTAGGCCACTCAAATTTCGAAAAATATTTAGGTATATCGTATATCAGCAGGTGGGTTAGTGCGACTCATTGACAATTTGTTAATCACTTAAATCTTTTTGAATCTTTTTTTATATACAGTAGAACTCCGATTATCCGAACGTCAATCAAACGGACGTCCAATTAACAGGACGTCCAATTAACCGGACGAAAAAAAAGGTCCTAAGCTAAAGATTATTTCATAATATTATGTTATACTGTTATACCTGGGAATGTTGGAACATAATAGTGAAGTACCCACTTACAACATTTTTGTATTTATTGATAATATTTACTTCAAAATAATCAAAATATTATAGATTAAGTCTTTTGCATTTTGGGGGTGCACCTTTTTAACTCGGCGGTGAAAAAGTCCCCTATATGCACCCCCAATGGTCGGTTGTTGTCTAATCGCCGCACAGTTTAGTCTGTCAATATTGTTATATTATTATAAAGAGTGAATTGTCGTGTTAGAATGTTCCTAAATAACTTTTAAAATGCCATATGTCAATCATCTGGATATTTGCTTATCCGGACCACCCTTGATATTAATTAGTCCTGATAACCGGAGTTCTACTGTAGTATATTATATATACAATAATATAAAGTCGTTAATATTTTAATGATACAATTATTTTGAAGTTAAAGTTGAGAGGGGGCCCACTAAGTGTATGGTGTCCCGGGGCCCAGTTGAGCCTTAATCCGGGTTTGCCTATGTTTGGCACTGAAACTACGCAAAGCTGCAAACTTTATAATTACTAATTACTATACTTTTAATTATGCTGATTAGTATAAGTTATAACACCATTCTATTTCTATACTATGTAAAAATATTTAGAATTACCTATCTGATTGAACGATAAACCTAATACCGAGTAATACCTAGGTTTAAGAAATGTATATAAAAAAAGAGATTGAGATATTAGGTACCTACCTACGTCCACAATCAAAATAATAATATAATAATAATGACTATAATCATCAAAATGTTTGAAAATTTGAGCACGACTGGATACCTAATAATAAAACGCACAGTTAATAAGAGCAAAACAATTAATCTATACCCGATTCGTACCCGATTTGAAAAACAAATACATTTACTAACTCACAACATCCTCATTCCCCCCCCCCCTGACCACCACTGTTACCCACAAATTCCATAATTACGACATTGAACTATTTTAACAGTGTCGGTTTAAAGCGTGAGACTATAGCTGCTGGTATACAATAAACATATTTTGATATTATAAATTATAATATATTAGACGATCGCGATACGATTTTTTACGAACGCATCCGGTGCCATTGTACTATTGTAGGGTTTTCATTTCGTTTGATTTCAACTACGGTGCGTTGTTATTATTATTATATTATAATATAATTAGGTACCTCCGCGCACGACCAACAAGGCAACTACGGTCGTGGTCTATCGTGGTGGTAGCGCGAACGAATAAATGAATAATATCATATTATGCACTATTAAATGGACGAACCGACACGGAGAAGACCGACTACGATGATGATGGCCTTAGTAAGTCAATTAATAAACGAGTAGGTACCTAGTACACGTCATTACAAAAATGCACTGAAATAATTCATTGTTATTATTACTATTATTATTGTGTATTATTATTATCATTGATTAAGTATATTTAATCAATGATATTATTATTAGTATTACTATTATATCGTTTGGAGACTGCTCAGATTATACGACTTACAATATGACTATACGTATTGAACAAATGTATTTTGTTTCGCGACGATTTAACGTAAGCTACAACGAGAAATCATACATATACCATGTAATAATATTTTATTAATAGTAATCGATTTAATAGGTATTATGTTTTAGTCCAAGTGACAACTAATAAGTCATATAGGCTATAATTATTAATTATTAATTTTTAATTTTATTGATGCCGGTCGTCCTTCAAGGTATAAAATATTAAAATAGCGGTAGAAGCGGGACGGTCAGTGCCGACAATACTATTGCTTTTCCTACCGCCACTCGCTAGCAGCTTAGTCCTTTATTATCTATGGCGACGATACTCCGCGAAGGTGATAACGCGAGAGACTGATAACGCACGCGCGCCCCCCAAGATAATACCTATGGTAAAGTTAGTAGTTGGCTAGTTGGAACTGCACATTGCACAGCGACTCGATCGGCGTCCGCCCGAACGTCGTCCGCTGCCGAATTTCTAATTCTTAGACTCGCGAGGGTCCGGTCCCAGTCTCTGTCCACTCGAATCTCCCGATGACGACGTGTCGACAGCTCCGTGGACAACGGTCGCAAGACGTCTCACGTTCGCCGACATGGTGATGACCATCGAGGTAAAACGAACGGATATCTCTATTCACTCGTCCGTCGTAGACAACGGGTGGACCTACGGTTTGTGTTCGTTGGCACACAAACGGTGGTGGTCCAACAGCCCGTCTGCATTCTACACATCCTACATGGTCATCGCCCTGTCATCGGCACATGGGCACGACGGCTGCGTTCTGCACGATTGAGCGATCGCTTGACGGCAGTAGGTAAGAGGTCACAATTTACATCTATTGCGTTCAAAACAGTATAGACAATGGTAGTAGAGGTTCTATGCATTGTTTAAAATTATTTTTAAATCATTAATATTTTGAATATTTCAAATTAGAATTAAGTATATGTTCCACGTTTATAGGCATGTCTTTAATTAATAATTGAATAAATTAGGTATATCATTCTACCATTCAACTGTAAGGTGTAAACTATTGATATTGTTCATCAGAAGTACATAGTATGACTGATTTAAATATAATGTGAAGGTACTACCTACTTTCATACATTATGTTTCTGTGGGTAATACCTACTTCTTCACATACCTAAGTTTTGGATATTTGTAAGTTCTAAACTCTAGTCCTAAACATAAGCATTTAGATATTTGAACAAAATTTTTAAAAAACTTATACTATCAGATACTAGACTCCACCTAGTTAACATCTGGGAATAAATATGTAAGTACTTGTACCTACCTAAAATATTTTTATCATATCAAAATTAGGTATGTATTATTTGTGTAATAAAAATTACCCTCAATAAGCTCAATAAAAGTTAACATGTTTAAAACAATATTATACTTATGATGAAACTATTTAACTACCTTTTTTTCTTTTTTTACGCCAGTGGCGTATTTACGGGGTGAGATTAGTGAGATATATCTCCCCCCTTAGGCCTTTTTTTAAGCTTATATTTAATGATTTATTCTTTAATTCATATTATTTAATATTTTATATGTTGTAGTTATAAGGTTTATATACTATGTATAGATATAATATATATTAGGTATGTAGTTATAATAAATTGATAGTATATCTTCATGTATTTCGAGTGGAGGGAGTAAAACTATTTTAGTCATATCTTTTGCCTCAAATAAATCCTAAATACGCTACTGGCTTGTGCATCACGTTGATAGCGCCACCAGATATTTAACTACCTAAAGAATTGTATAATATTACAGCCACTTTGTTGAATATAAAAATATATATCTTTTAAGCATACATTTTTAATAGGTATAAAATATTTGTATGCATCTTATTTAAATCTAACTACCTACATAATATTACATAAATTTAACCAAAATATTACTAACCAGTTAAATAAAACCTTTGGGTACTTAACAATAATTTATTTTAATTCTTATTTTTTTTGTTTTAAATATTTTACAGAATCAGTAAACATTAAAACATGAGACAACAAATATGGCTGCGCATTTTGGCGTTTTTAGCTTTTTCATGGGTAGCTTTCCTTTTGGTGACTGTTAAACTTGTTAGGCAACAAGATACCAACGACGGGGATTCATCTCAAAGACTGGCCAGGGCTCTTCGAGAACTTGATAAATTACATAGAAGCAATGCTGAGCTTAATGCTTTAGTGTTGGATTTGAATTACAAGTATTAACTATTTTCATAATATATACCTAACAAAGATATGAAAGAATGTTGGCATACATAATTTGTTGAAAAGTTTTAAAACTAAAATTTAATGAGAGATATTGACAATGTTTTATTTTTGTTTTCTATATTTTAGTAAGTATATTTAAATTTCATTTGAACTGTTGCCAATAGTTATTGAAATATTTTACAGTACCTATATAAAAATACTTATTTATAGTTTAACTATTTTATTTCAGATCTTTTATACAATCATTAAAATTTTTTTTTTTTTATATAGTCCAAGAATAGACAATAAGAAAATTCTTTTGTCTTATTTCCAAAATTCTAAAAGGAGTGGACTAAATGGTCCATCTGAAGAATATGAACTTTCACGTCGTCGTATATTTTCGAACACTAAAGAACTTTGGTATTATGTCAACTCTGAATTACAATCTTTAGTCAAAGAAGATGATAGTGTCAGAGTGGAACACATTTCAAAAATTAAAAACATTATTGGTGAACACTATAGATCTTTATTAAAAGATGTATCAAGTTTAGCTGATGTTGATGGCCATGCAGTATGGAGACAACAAGAATCTGAAAATTTAAGTAATTTAGTTCAAAAAAGATTGAAACATTTACAAAATCCATCAGATTGTGCCAAAGCAAGAAAACTAGTTTGTGACTTAAATAAGGTTTGCTATTTAAATATCTAAACATTTTTTGTTGATTTATAATAGTCCAAACAATTTATTTGTTTCAGGGTTGTGGATATGGTTGTCAGCTGCATCATGTTGTTTATTGTTTTATTGTTGCATATGCAACAGAAAGAACATTAATTTTGAGGTCTAAAGGTTGGAGGTATTCCAAAGGAGGATGGCAAGATGTATTCTTACCATTGAGTGATACATGTCTTTTACCAAATGGAGAAACAACCAATCGGTGGCCAGGTAATTAATAATTACAATTATTAAATTTGTGTTATTGAATTTACTGTTAATTAAGTTAACTTAAGGTAACTATTAATATCATACATTCTAGGTCATAGAAATACTCAAGTTATTACTCTACCTATAATTGACTCAATCAACCCAAGACCTCCTTTCCTTCCTCTTGCATTACCTGAAGACTTAGCTCCAAGATTAAATGTATTACATGGAGATCCTGTGGTTTGGTGGATAGGCCAATTTCTCAAGTATATGCTCCGACCTCAACCAGCTACTAGTAATAAACTAGATGAATACGCCAAAAAAGTTAAATTCCAAAAACCAATTGTCGGGTAATTGTTTATTTAATAATTTATTTTTATTTTATGATTTTACTAAAGTTAATTATTATTATAAACTCATATTATACGGTTGTCTGTATTATATACATACATTTCGTTTTAAAGAGTACACATTAGAAGAACCGACAAAGTTGGTACTGAAGCTGCATTCCATAAGCTAGATGAATATATGGTACACGTTGAACAGTATTACAAATATAAAGAACTAACTGATAAAGTCGATAAAAAACGAGTTTATTTAGCTACGGATGAACCAAAATTATTTTCTGAAGCTAAACGCAAGTGTGTAAATACTAAAATATATGTCTAAACAATTGTATGGGTAATTAATTTTTATACATTCTAGGTATCCTGAGTATGAAATAGTTGGTGATGAAGACATTTCTAAAACTGCATCAATCAGTAAACGTTATTCTGATCAATCGCTAAGTGGTATCATAACTGACATACATTTTTTGTCTCTTAGTGACTACTTAGTATGCACTTTTTCATCACAGGTAATGGACAAAATGGAAATTATTTTTAAATTGATTTTAAATTTAACCCCTATTGTTTACAGGTATGTCGAGTAGCCTATGAGATAATGAACAGTCTCCATCCTGATGCGTCAACTCTATACACATCTTTGGACGACATTTATTATTACGGTGGTCAAAAACGCAGACTTCATGTAGCCGTATTACCTCATAAGGCAAATGGCCCTCATGAAATGAATTTGCTGGTCGGTGATGAGATTGCTGTCGCCGGTAACCATTGGGATGGTTATTCAAAAGGAACAAATTTAAGAACAAAAGAAAGTGGCTTATATCCTACATTTAAGGTTTGCACTTGACAATAAAAATTGCTCTTAAAAAATGTTATTGAAAAATATATATATAAACTTAAATTTTAGGTGTCCCCCAAAATTGAAACTGCGTCTTTTGCCAGTTATCCAGATGTAACATTAAGTACTAATGAATTACAAGAACAAAAAAGGTAACTACAATACTGACAATATTATATTATAGACTTATACAAATAGGCAACAGTTTTGTGCTCGTTTTAGCCCAAAGCTTGGACAATTATATTTTACTTTATAAATACAATATACATATTATAATTTTAAAGTGTCAAAACATTTTTAATTATTAAATTAGGTACAAATAATTTTAGTGGAATTAAGTTAAACTAATTGTTATATAACTGTATTACAGTTAAATTAATTTCAATTATTCTGTGATCGCGTCTTCTAGGTTTAATATTAAATATTAATTATTCTTTGCTCTCTACTGTATCGACTAGTCCTTATATGCTACTTAAAATACCACTTGTATTGTTATGCTATCTACCAACAAATTATTATTGTCATATTTTGCTATATTTTAATCCCTTGCAAACTGTTAAAAAAAATAGTACATTACATACTTTATGTTTATTTCTTGAATAGTTACATATTTTTGAAATGTATACAATATAAATACAGAAATATTTATTTCAGTAGTCTATATCTAAAGTAAAGTAATCCACAAGAAACTATCGAACACGTTTTTTTGGTTTTCACTATTTATTTTGTATAGATTTACAAATAATCAACATTATTTGATGTAATCTATTAATTAACTACTCTATTTTTCTATGGCCCATTCATATTTGAGTTCTAATTTCTATTATTATTAAAAAAATTCTGGAGTAAACAATGTTTAGAGGTTTATTGGTAATCTATGAGTAAAATGGATTTCTTGATAGATGAAGCTACTGGAATCTATAGTACAATTGTATTAAATAACATTACTGCTTAATATTTTACTATAATATCTAGATGGTTACCAACCTAGATGTATAGCCAGAATTTTTTTCGTGGGTCTTTCAATTTTATATTTTAATATAACTTGTGGGGGGGGGGGCTTTACACACTATTGTAGTCATCAATTTTCATATTAATATAATATTAAATATTAAATAGAACCATATGACAACATATTTTGTAGAAAGCTGAGGCATATAACAAATATATTTTTTGCATAATTATGATTGATATGATGAAGGTGGTGGTTTCTACACCGAAAACACCCCACTACTGGTTACCAATTCAAACAATATCTATTTTGACATAATATATCATTTTTAGTGACTCATTAGCCCTTATAGATAACATATCATACTAATTTGATGGTAAAATAGCATACACTCAGGTACCTATATAATTTACCATGACCAATACGTTAAAACAATTTAATAGTTTTGTCTTTTCTCTTGTTGTTAAATTTTTTGATTTGTTTGATTTATTTTATGTATGTTATATACTTTTGAAGCAACATTTATTTTTAAGTTAAAAATAAAATATTGGCAGTTTTTTTGTTTTATTTTTACCTTTAGTTTCTTAACAAAGTATTATTTTAGATAAACAATTTATACATTATTTTATATTAGTATATTTTATTATACAATTTTTATGAAATATAATATGTTTCAAATATTAAAACAATATTTGCCAAATGTCAATGTTTAACAGGGTTTGTATGTTTGTGCAAGTACATAAAAAGTGCATAATTCATTGTTGCCAAATTGTCTTATTACATTTATATAAACATTATTTATTTAGTTTATTATGTTACAGTAGTCTTTTGATATTTAAATTAAATAATTAAACACTTTTGGATTTGTTTATGAGTACCTGATTATATTTTTACTTCATAACTAACTCTGTTGTTTTTTAGAAAAATCTGAATATAATAATTTTACTGTTTAGTTATGTAATTGTATTATATACATTGTTGAACACATATTATTATTTTTCAATCAAATTAACTACTATTCATAGTATATCCACGGTCTACCTGGTAGTAAACAATACCAGTTACATCAGTGTGATTCAACCCTCAAGTTGAAACAGTATTTCATAATTTAAAAATGTTTGTAAAAGGCATTCCATTCTGTAACACCAGATTGATTATAATATATATTATAAACTATACGGGTCATAATCTTATACAATTAGGAATAATAATAATCTATGGTGTGCGGAAATGATCTAAAATAATCACAATATTTATTTAAAATATATATGATTGTTCCGCAGACTAAAAAAGGTTGGATCACTCTGAAATACATTATCGCTTCACTATTTTTTATAGTTATTCTAACAACAGCTTGTAGACACCAACATTTTGTTTGGTTTATTTCATCATATTTTAGGCCACAAACATACAAGCTCTGTTTAGAGAACATGTCTTTTTTTTCTTAGATTTTGTTATTAAATTTGCTGAAGTTCATGGTTTTAGTTTAGTTTATTTATTTGTTTTTTAAAATGAAATCTAATATAGGAAATTGTATTTAAAATTTAAAAAAGCTTCTCCTCATTGATAAAATTCACTGTATGACCATATTTGTCTTGTCAATAATAATTTATCTTTTTAAAGATCCTAGTATATTTTAAAATGTAATTTATATAGTTGTTTTTTATTTGTGTAATTTATATATTTTTAGTTATAACTTATAACTAAAATGGGTGGTTGATAATTATTTGCTTACAAAATTACAGTATTTTTTATAAATACATCTTTATTTTCTTCAAGTTATCTTCTGCCCATTTAATAATTAAAATGTCAGTTCATGAACATAAATGATACATTAATTTAACATTGTATTTTCTGATCATACTGAAACTGTAGTTTATGAATATTTAAATTTGTATACATCTGATCTCTTAATTTTATCATTCTCGAACAAATTATTTATATTATTATATTTTGTGTCAAAAAAATATTTGATCATAATATTATTGATTCTACTTTCTATTATTGTGATTATATAAACATTTATTGATCAATATTACTTTGTTAAAACTATGACAGTATTTTATGTATTATTTTAAACAAATTGTTTGTATTACACGTATGACATTGTATGAATGTTTTTTTTCATATTTTACATATATTTTTTCATGTCATTATTATATTCTTGTTTTCAGTTTGCTTACTACAATTTGATGTTGCAAATCACAAGTATAATCTTGTATAATGAAAATGCTTAGTTTTATTACAACCAGCTTAGGTATTCCCTCATACCTGATACCATAAATTTACCCAGGAAGGAAGCTGCATTCAAGCCAAAAGAAACCTAATACGGGAACTAGATACTCAAAAGACAAAATAAGCATTTACTCTTGCATTTAAAGTTAAAAAAACTAGGGAAGTCAGACTACTATATAGTAGGTGTTCAGCTTACCTCGTCACTGAATAGGTCACAGTACTAGATGTGTTAAATTTGAATTCAATGATAAATTGAAAAATCATTGCATACAAAAATTATTCTGAGTGGACATGGTTAAACTTCTATTTCTAAGAATATTTTATAACTAGTTTATATTAAGATGGCACTATTAAACATTTTTTATTCTATTAGAATAGTACACTTTTACAGTATGTAAAGTATGTTGATTTGATTTTGGCCAAAAACATTGCATAAATGATATTATTATTATTGTTGTTAAGTTTATAAGTCAAAACCATTTACTTTATAAAGTGTGAACAGTTCATAACAAAATGAAAATACGAGAAAATAAATTATATTCATGCTTACAATAATTCCATTTTATTTTTAATCATTTTTTCATCAAATTCAGTACACATTTTAATTTTATTGGATCAATTTTAGAATCTTACTATTATGTAATTTTGTTCTAATATTATACTAACTACTAGGCAATTTTCAGTTCATTTTTACCTGTCAGACAGTACATAACATCAGTAAAAAAAACTTATAACCATTGGCCAAACTACTAGTCAGACCATGACTAGAAAACTTACTGACTTGAGGCGCAGGGTGGCAATGTAAATTTGTCCACAAGAAATCGCTCTACGAGATTAATAATAATCTGTTCTGTAGAATCAACCAAATTTGATAAAAAATTTTTTAACTAATAGAGGGTCTGAATTGAACTCCAATTTTCAATATTTAAAAAAAAAATAATACAATTTTAATCTTTTTTTTACAATAAAAAATTCCATTATTTTAAATAAAATAAAAAATCTGATTTCAATGTGGCCTGTAGGAATTCTTCTTTCAGATAAAAAATAGTTATCAAAATTTGACAATTCTTCAAGGCCTGAGAATTATTCTAGTCATTTTTTTTCGATATAAACACCGCACCAACACCACCTTAATAGGTATAGGGTAGTGGATTAAGTATTCTATTGATGCTATTACCAAATATTGTATTAAGTATACACTACATCACTACCTATACATGCAATATAATCATGGAATCGATTTGATTATTGGGTGCTAGTTAGCAAAAGGTACAGTCATCTATAATTAATAAATGGTAATTAGTTATGAATAATATTTACCCATTGTAATGTTATCACAAATAACAATTCTTAATTAGTTAATAAGTTAAGCAAGATAAAGTAAGTAAAAAAAAACATCTTTATTGTAAATATAAGCTATATAATGAACTAGTAGTTGAAATCTTTATTCCTAATGAAAATAATAATAAAATAGATATAAATCTAACTATGTTAGATATTTGAGCTTGTCGCAGTCTTTAACCGAAATAATATTATGACATTTTACGCTAATATTTAACAAATATAAATATGAGTCTAGATAATTTGTACACGGTGATTATATTATATTCTCAATCGTTCGAATAGCCAGTTAATCAACAAATAGTAAATTTGTCTATCAATTGATAGATATGTGATTTTAACCATATCCAACATAATATAAGGTTATTTCGGGCCGAGTTTACATTTGCCCAGTGACTGGTAGGTACAACGTAGGATGAGATGGTTATTTTCATAAAAATATAAATCAGTGGTATTATTATATTTATATTCGATCCTCAGTACCTACTCTGTAGCACTATTTGACAATGATAATAAATTATAACGAATAAGAAACTGAAAAGTTAAATTGTAATAAAATAGGTACATGTGTATTTACTATTTATACTATTTAATTTGTGATTATTTTTTTTAGCATTTGATGCTATGA